CTATGATTCTATGATTCTATTTCTACAGCACAGAAAAAAGCCAGCATTATCAGTTGGCTGGTTTTACCTTCACAGGCACTCAATTTCTGAGTCTTTCTGAGAATGGCTCTTATGCCTGGCATGGCTTGGTCGTACTGATGGAGAACTTCCAAACAGTGTTCATGAAACAGTTTATCTTTCTGAGATAGGCTGTGCAAGAGTAAAATGGCGTCCCGTAAAAACTGAACGATTTGTTCCTTATGTGCACACAGACTGTTCTCAGATCTTCTGATCTTCACCCACTGCCTGTGTAACATTATAATCAGTGCCTTAACCACCTGCAAGAGGAAAAAAAAGTGCCTCAATACACAAAATTACAGTCACAGAAAACTTGCTTCACTATGAACTTTACTGATTAATCTCTTCAAACTTCCAAATTTCAGAATATTTGCTAGCAAGCAAAAGCAAGCTTCCCTGAAGGTGGCATCCTTTAAAGCACAGTACACCTCTGTTTCTTTGTAGCTAAAAAAAGGGGCAAAAAGCTACTTTAGCACCGTTACCTTTAAGTTCTCGGTAGGTTAAACTCGGGCCCTGTAGTGACGTACCTCGAGATTACACTGGCAGTCTGTACCAGGTAGTAAAACCACCGGCCTGGAGCACCACACACACCGTGTCAGGAGCCTGACTGTCTATACAGAAACAGACAGATGGCATTGTAATGAGTACTACTACCAAACAGTTAAGCTTCAAATAAAGAAAAGTAGAAATGATACTTCGTTACTAGTTTCATAGAATCACAGAATGGTTTGGTTGGAAGGGACCTTAAAGATCATCTAGTTCCAAACATTCTTGTTTTAAACAGTTGGTCTTTTTTACCCTCAAAAACTGTTTCAAGTTTTTTCCCTGTGCAACTTTACAGACACAGAATTTGCCTTGCACGAAAACATTTAGAACTTTCTGAAGAGGTGAGATGGGCCTTAATTCACTGCATACAAATACTGTGTTTACACCTAATATAACAATGTAGGGGGGAGTAATGAAAACGGTTCAAAACTCTTTCAAACGAGAGCAGAAGCAGAGCAGGTGGCAGAACCTCAAACATGTCACCGCTGCCAGCACACACAATACAAAATCATTTCAAAAGGTGTTCTTCCTATGTATAATCACAACCATTACACAGCAAGCTAGCACTTCCACTGAATACAGTGAATATCGTCCTATATCACTACAGACTGGTGGTTTTATGTAGTAACTCATAGGATACAGCTCAGAAGTAATTAATACAACTAAAATAAATCACACATCTTGCTTCCTTTTACTCCCCTATCAATCTAAAAGCAAAATAAAGCTTAGCCTTGAAGGTTTACAGCCATTCTAGCATCTTTCTTCCTTTTTCAGTGACCTAGCTACGACTGTCAGGACCGATGTTATCTTTAGGAATAGCTACTGATTCTGTTTCCAGCAGCTACTCTTAAATCTAATCCCTTACAATACTTCCAGTGTTCTATTTCAGCTGGAGAAAGAACTCCTGACAACTTGCGCAATGCCCTGCTCCTCCCACTCCCCCAACTGGAAAGAGCAGGAAAAAGCATATGAACAAACAGCTGTGGTTACCTCTTGTTCCAGCTGAAGCCAAAGCATTTCAGGTGCCGATTTATCTGGTCTTGATGTGATATACATGTACAGTGCAAGGAGAAGGCAGGTGTCTGAAACAGAGATAACACTGTTCTTTTCCCATCTAGTCACTTGTTTGTGACAAACTGATTCTGTCACACAAGAAAACATTTCAGAAAATACAGAGAGTGCTATCCTGGGACCGGTGATGTGGGCTCAGCTTCCTGCTTTACTTGTGACATCCTAAGCAGTGCTGAAGAAACCAGTATCCCTAAACTTTGTATGTGTGCTTGTCCTAATACTGTCCCTAGTACTCACAAGGAACGGGACATATTTGCCATGCCGAGTACTGGAATCCCTAAACTCAACAGCGTCATGAGCACAGAAAAACGAGGCTTCCAACTACTCAAAAGCCATTTTTTCCTCATCAACCTTTAATAAAAAACATTAATCTGAAAAGTAGTTTTAGAAATCCACACGGGTATCAAAAGCACTGTAGGCAGGGATACCACAAGACAAAATACTGTTCAAACAACAACTGAAACACTGCACTAGAGAACAAATTTTCAGGAAATGTATCAGGCTTTTTGCCTTTGGGGGTTTTAACACCTTGGAGCAAGGCCTGTTTGCACTGCTTTCTGTCACCCTAACATTCAACTGGCAGCAGTTACACAGTCTTTACCTGAACGAGAACAGAGTTGAGCAACCAACATGTGGTGTTGCGAAAGAACAGACAACAGTCTGAGGGCCAGAAGGACAGCAGGCAAAGGGGTCTCCAGACACAGGCAACGGAGCAATACCTGGCTACTCAGTAAGTGCTGAAAACTTGGGGAAGAAAAATCCGAGTTAGAAATGGGAAATGCCCTGACAAGTTGAAAATACACTATTTCTTGTAGGCAGCATTGCAATTTGTACCCTTCAGCCATTCAGAACATACCTCATCCCAACCTAAATAAAAAGCACAGTGAAAAACATTCTACATTTGGCAGTCAGTCTGCAATTCATACTATGGGTGTGTATATTAGACCAATAGCAGCTGATACGTCTCACTTTCGAGTGGTGTTTTACCTACCAGAATGCGCCCTGGGCTTTCATTCCTTACGCATCTCCCCGCAATGGCGGAACACCCCAAACGAGTGTTACTCAGATCAATTGCACGTGGCCTTCAGACACTGTCTCACTTTGAAGTGACAGCTGTGCAATAGGGCAACAGCATCTGCTTCACCGAAACCTCGAGCAAATCTTGTTACTGATTGGGGGTGATTAACACATTCGTTGGCAGCAGAAGGATCTTCAGCTGCTTCTCAAAGGTGATGTGAGAAATGTGATACTCTCCCATACATGTCAAAACCTCCACTGTCATCTGCACAAATTAATTTCAACAGGAAATGACAATTGTTCAACAACAGAGTGTGAAATAAATTTAAAGCTGTTACTGACTTACTTCATTAGCAAGTCCACTGTTGAATTTTCAGCTAATTTCGCCAAAACCTTTAGGCTTTGGATCAGTATACGGTCAGTCTGGGAGCCTCTTTCAGCTGAAAAAGCTAAAACCTGAAGCAGCTTTTTAAACAAAGAATGTTGAGCTTGACCATTACTGGGAGCATCCTGTGGAGCTACAGGCAGCCCTCCTTGCATCCTGGTATCTTCTTTATTACCACGCTGATTATCCGACAACATATTTTTGTCTGTCTTGGAAACCTGTTCATCTCCAACAGCAGAACCTTTTTCCACTTCAGCAGACAGCAGTGTGTGGACAACATCCCAGCTATAAAACACCAAATAATAAAGAATACCCAGAGATACAACTGTAGTTTCTTCAAGAGACAACCTGAAGTCCTCCTTACTTGACGTCACGTTTGGGTTGGTTCTGGAAGAAACGGCTGAATGGTTTCCACAAGAACCACTTACTGGCTTGTCTGCCAGTTGTATGGCTTGACAGTATGTGCCTATGTGGTGTTCTACCAGGGGCAAGAGGTGTACGGCACCTCGGATCTTGCAGCGGGTGAGGTGCAAGAACTCTCTCCGGCCTTCCATCGGGCTTCCTTCAGACAATCCTTCATCCATTGCAATCAAGTTCAAGCCTGTTATCGCAAGTTTTTGAGCTTCTTGCAGGGATACAAGAGGAGCGATTTCTTCTTGAGTTGTCCTGCTGCTGGGTAGCTGTGTGGACTTCCTATCCAAGTAAAATCAAAAGAAAAGGCAGAGAACAGAGCTGGAATTTGAGTATTCCATATTTTGAATAGCATAATATAAAGGCTAGAGTAATAAGAGATGCCTCTTCCCAAAATGAAATGTAAATTGGAGGGCAGGGGGGGAATCCTACTCCTTGATACCTGCACGGAGAAGCAATGTCAAAGCATTCCTAGGTCTTTTGTGAGGGTAGTCAGAGCTTACAGTTGAGTAGCTTCAGCAGCTCACTATAAGCCACTGACTAAAACTGCATTTCAAGCGCTGGCTTCCCGGTTCCATGCTTTTATAACCTGCCATATATTCTTATCTTCCCCTGATGTTACTTGGTAGTTTCTCGGAAGAACGAGTGTCTGTGTATTACTAATCTGTGCCATGTAGGAGCCTTTAAAGACTACAACAACAACAGGGGGAAAAAACAGACAGACAGACTGCAGCTATTAACACCCTGAACTGCAGCTACAAAGGCCAAACCTCCACCTTCCACAGATGGCAAGGACAATGAGACATGAACCTTGTCATGAACCCACAAAACACAAGAATTACTAATAAAATAACATCTCAGAAAAGCAAAGCTATTTCAGGAGCTAGTCTAATGCGTTAAACTGAAAAACAATTATAGTTTATATCCAGTAGTCATATTTAAAGTGCTTTACAGGTCACTACAGGTTTGAAAATTGCACATTGCAAATTGAACATAGTTTAGACTTGGAAGACATAAATCACACTGTTCTTTTGATCACAGAGTGCTGCGTCCAGTTGTGGAGTCCACAACATCAGAAGGATATAAGCCAGTTGGAGCGAGTCCAGAGGAGGGCCACAAAGATGATCAGAGGGCTGGAGCACCTCTTCTGTGATGAAAGGTTGCAAGAATTGGGCTTGTTCAGCCTGGAGAAGAGAAGGCTCCGGGGAGGACTTATTGCAGCCCTCCAGCACCTGAAGGGGACTTTTTGCAAGGGCCTGTAGTGACAGGACAAGGGGTAATGGGTTTAAATTGAAAGTGGGGAGGTTTAGATTAGATATCAGGAAGAAGTTCTTCTCAGAGAGGGTGAGGAGGCACTGGGACAGGTTGCCCAGAAAAGCTGTGGATGCCCCATCCCTGGATGTCTTCAAGGCCAGGATGGATGAGGCTTTGAGCCACCTGGTCTTGTGGAGGGCGTCCCTGCCCATGGCAGGGGGGTGGGAACTAGATGATCTTTAAGGGCCCTTCCAACCCAAACCATCCTGTGATTCTATGATTATGTCTATATGCTTCCCTCCTTGCAGTATGTCCTTCAGTGGTTAACAACAGCAGCTGCTAACAGTCACTCCCACATTTTACAAAACATGTTTCTGTACCTTCCCCTAAGACATAATTAACCTAGTTTATCTCTTAGTGTTCTTCCACTGTTTATTATCTATGATTAATAATCTCCGATTTTCAAAGCTGCAGAATGATATTCCACATTTTGTGTCAAACGGCCCAAGCCAAACAGCGTTTAACACAAGGAATGTGCTATCCTACATGAGGAAGCATCTCTTAGCATAAAGAATGCCATTGTACTAAGAACATGTCAGATACAGTTTAAGCAAAAACCGTAAAACTTACGTATCCAAACAGTGAGGCTGCAGTGCAGCTCCAGGTAGAGGCTCAGAGTTACTGCTGAGGAGGTGGCAGAGTCCTAGTAACGACCCAGGGACAATGGGCTGCCTCATCAGTGCATTTAGTAGGACAGAACCTGAAAAGATGTGTAACTCTGCATTATCAACTGCAACATCAACAAAAAGTTAGTATTTCAAAAGATTAGCCTTATTTACAGCGCTTTCAACCTCAAAATCAATTATCATTTCAAATCTTCTTTCTCTACAAGAACTCCTTCTTATTTTGAGGATGAAAGCACTAGAAATAAAAAGAAGGAATTCTTGTAGAGAATCAGTCTCTACAAGAGGCGTGATGTTCAGAAAAAAATTAATACATGATTTAAGTATTAACAAAATTATATTTAGAGGTATTTTAATTACAGTCTGTTATTAGTAGAATATTTCAAACTGAACGATCGTATATCCCACCTATCCTGGTGACCTGCCCTCCACGTTCCAGTCCAGACATTAAAATTACGTGATGCCATTCTATTCTGAATTGGAAATAACACAATCCCCTGAAGGTTCCTGGTGTTGACGGCTGTAAATTCTGCTTTATTGTTTTTTCCTTTATTTAAAACAAAATGTATATTCTCCCTGACTTTTTTAATAGCAGCTTACAGCAAGAAGCATAACTCATTACTGCTGAAAGGGCCAGACTTGCAGTAAGGTGCCTCTTGATCCATATCCTTCCATAAAGCAAAACCAGGGCAAACTTTTTTCTTAAACAGAACAGCGAGGTAAGAATGGTGTTAGGATACAAGATAATGATAAAATCTGAAGTCTTTTACTGCAAAATCACAATATTCAGAGCAAAGAAGGACTAGCTAACACCACTGTTCTGTGCAGTGGCACTGCAGGCAGCAGGCTCCTCAGCGTGACGCTGCTCATTCTGGGCAACTGAGCTGGTCCTCAGAAGTGCTCCCTACTTCTGTATTAGCAGAATTAAGTTACCTTGTGCGCTCCGTTTATGTACAGAATTGTAGGAACCGTTTTTTCCCATTGCTTCATGCTTCACAGATACAACTTCAGGATGGGTTATCTTACTGTCTAAAACAAACAGTAATTATAAGTCTGATATGAGAACTCCATTGCTTCTATATCTGTACCTACCCTTTACACCCACTGCGTTAGCCATAGCTGTTACGTGGGAAGTAAACAGCGAGTAGTCCAGTAAAACACAACTGTATAACTCGGGTGGGTCACCCCACAGGTAAGAGCTGTGATACAAGCAGAATTGCTCCCCACAGTAAGTTAGAAAAGTGAATAAAATGTCACCTTTCTTGTCAGATGTTCGACAGATTGTCAGTTCTTTTGTTCTCAACCTTTCTGTTAGAAAAAATACCTTAAGCTGAATTCCCACTGCTAGCAGAGATTTATGTGACTGTGTTAAAAATCAACATGAAATTCTTAAAAATAAGAAATAAAATTAAAAAACAGGAGCATTTCATTTCCATAATCCTTCAGTCAGCTACATACAGCTCAATTACTGGCCAAACTGAAGGCAAATGCTGGTTCGGAAGACACAAGTGTGGTTTTCAAACAGGTTGGCATACGGCACGGCGCTACCGTCACGAACAGTCAGGAGGCTGAAAAAACAGCAGTCCTAACGCCTTAAGGCTGCTGTGTTTCCCTTTTTGACGGATCTCACACTGCCCATGCAGTTTCGGATTGAACACTGCAACTGACCATAACATCTCAGATTTTCCATGACTCTTCCCGGAAGGATTAGTTGGCAATATCCAAATTTCTTCCAGTTACTATTTCCTACGGAAACAGGGCAGTCAGCTGCTCGAAAGAAACACCTTTTTTGCTTCATATTACAGCCATCTTCAGACAGATGGCACACAGTCATTTCCTAGGCCTCACTCAGTGGATTTCAAGACAGAATTTTCTGAAAATTACTGCCCTACACATGAAAGAGGAAATGACTAAACTGTTTCAGTTAGTTTTCAATAGCTAAATATGCACCATTTGAAATCACATCCCCCAAAAGACCAGCTTTAAAGCCAAAACCACAGGAATAAAAAAAAAAAAAAAAAGCACAGCTGACTAGCAGACCTATTCAAGAAACAGGCAAATGATTTACTGTTCTTCTTTCTTCAGCAAGGAGGCAGATAACAATTTGGGTATTTTAGTTCGTCACATAAGAAATGGAAGATTTTCATGAGGACAAACAGCCACTTTGTCGTTGGCATCTGATAGGTAGGCGTTACCAAGGCATGAATTAAAGTGATCCTGACTTAAAATCCAGCCACGGCTGTTATCACCAATTGGTATAAAATGGCAAGGAACTTAAGCAAAAAAAAAAAAGAAGAAATGCTGGGTTTTCCCTACTGTGAACCAACTGAAACTGCTCAGTCACACAGTACAAACTTCATTATCTAGGGCAGGATGTTTGGAAGCAGCCAAAAATGTTGCCAGCTGTCGACAGGCCTACCTTCCCTGCCTGAAGTGGTCGGGGCATTCAGACTTCCTGAAGAACATGATGGTCTGGTAGACATTTCAGCATTGAAGAATTCCTTTGTAGGAAAAAAATTTTTCCAGGCTGTGGAGAACATCCCTCTGATTTCACTTGTACTGCAAAATTCTTTTTAGGGCTAAAATAAATATCAAAAACTTAAGTGAATCAGTATTTCTTTTGCAATTATTTTATTAAACAATAAACAAGGATCTAATTAACAGGACTTGTGATACTGCTGTTTTAAAGGCACTTCGCTATGAAACGTTGCATTTCTGTCACAGATGCCAGGAAGGCTGTTCTTAAGCAAATTCCACAGAGGTCAACAGACTTATTTTGGTTGTGTTTTTTCAAGCAAGCAGAGCTCAGATTTAATATGGAGAAAGAAAACCTCTTTAATAGTTTAAGCACACGCGTTTTCCAAAACTCCTACCTTGGCGTTAAAACCACCTGAGCAACGTGTTTATTTCTTTCGCAGCTTTGAAGTCGTGTTCTTAATTCATTCATTTCTGCGTCTTTGAACTGCAACTCCGACTGTAATGACAGCAACTGAAAGAGGAATTGGAAGGTTTTCCTGCCGCTGAATAATTTAGTGGTGTTACAACTGCAGAGCAACTAGAATTACCCTAAGATTTCAAGATTACTGTCAACTCACAGGGAACTCTGCCTAAGATCCCCATGTTTACATATGCTAGTCCAATTAATACTTAGAGCCATGTGCCAAAAGTTCAGGCAAGAAGCACATGACTTGTTTAAGACAGAACAAGTGCCATGCGGGGCGTGACCGCAGCGAGGCCATTAAGAGGACAAAAGCAGCCACTGTCCTCTTCAGGGCTTTTAGAAAGATGACTGCAACAGGAACAGCAACCTGGTCAGAGTCATAAAGCATGTTCTCCCCATTTTTTTCCCATTTTAAAACAAATTCCAATTCTGATGTTCTGGGGATTGCTTAAAAACAAAGCAAGTGGACAAAAAACTCTGTCACTTGAATGTTACTCTTATTTTGGCAGAAGAAAACCCCCGGGCAAGTTCCTACAAATGCTTTCTTCTAGGTGAGAAAATAAAAGCATACATAGTTTGGGAATTTCATAGAAATGTTCTTCCTTTGACTAGATGGACTGTGACACCATTAAGCCATAAATTTAACTCCTGTACATGACATGCAGGTAACTGACAGTATCAAACCTTTTTGGAAAATTCTTTTTCTTTTTCACTGAGGGTCTGAGACTTTTGCTGTTCCAACAGCATGTAGGATCTTTTCTGTTCCTCCATAGCATGCTCCATCTGCTGCATCGAGTCACGCAAAATTTTAATTTCTCCGTTTTTAATAAGAATTTCATCCTGCATTTCCTTCAGCTGCAAACAGATGAATCCATTAAAGGATGTATGTAAGCAGAAGTATGTAGTTATATCATTATGTGGCAGAAAATTAGGTGTATTTATACTCTGTAGGGAGAAAAATGCTTCTGTAACCCAGTTCAGAAATTCTGCAGTGTTGCTTCTGACCTTTCTCTGATTAGATCAGGCTCAGCTACTGCTTTCTCCAACAGAATTATAAAATGACAGCAAAGACGTGTCTGCACACACCGTGTCCTGGTATCTCTCGCAGACCGTTCTTCTCTTTCCCCTTCTCTGTGATTACATTCTTTCTTTGAAAAGTATTCTAGTCACAAACATGAAGAATTTATTCTTTGTTGGATGGCAGCAATGATAATTCAATTCCAGTATTTCATGTGGCATGACAGCCAACAAGCACACAGCCCTGTGCCAAGCTACCTGCCCCGGACAGCACCTATGTGACATACACACTCTCTAACACTCTCTCAACGGCCATCACCACTCAGAGACAAGACTTTGGAGAGAATAATAAAGGGGTTAACCAGAAAAGCATGGAGAAAAGCATGGAGAAAAAAAGCTGAGACACACCTCTATATCACTATGTAAAGTTAGGGTCTACCCCCACGCTGAACGTGGTGTACGGGTAGGAGCTTCCCCAGTAAAGAAGGATGTAATAGAACTAGAAAAGATTCAGAGCACAGAGTAAGGGGGATGAGGGAAAGGTAAATAGGGTAGGACCCTCACATCTGGGAGAAAGCACAGCTGTGAGGAAACAAAGGTCTGTCGAGGTCTAAGTGCTGCGCACAAGTTATTCCTCGTTTACTGCCTCTCATAACAGCCAGGACACATCCACTGCACATCACTAGGTGCAAAGTTCAAACTAAAATCAAAGAATAACTTTCCTCACACAGCGTGTTGTTAAGCTGTGGACCTCTCTCACACTAGAAAATATCAAAAACCAACTACACAAGCATTTTAAAAAGATACGCTGAAGAATATGAAATGCACACATACTGTTTCTGGATCAGGAAGCATCTACATGAAGTCTTCCCAGGAGCTAAAAACATATTCTGGTAAAATATCATCATAAACTTGCTTGGGACCTGTAGTCATCCTAAGCTGTCTGCCAAAGAAAGGACAGGCTTCTGGACATTTGCACGTTCCTACTTCTCCACACCTGTATCTTCCCCATAGTATCTTTCCATAAGGGACCATCAGAGAGTAAAGAAATGCAACACAACTGAAGTGACTTTACTTTCTTTAATCTTTAAAGTAGTGCAAACCAGCCGTCGCTGACAGGACAGAGGAGAATGGATTTGATAGGAAACAAGTAAAACTGACAAATCAGCATGTGCTAATCTGAAACGACCAAGAAATTTTGTTCTCACTCTTAGTATTATCAGAACTGTTTCTAGTATGAGGCTTTTAACTGATACATGGATTTCAAAGAGTACTAATCAGTTTGATTAGAATGAGATACTTTGAGCCAAACTTATCCTACCTTTCAGTCAGCCCTATCAAACAATGTGATATTTGGAGGGGAGGGGGAGATAACTGCTTACCTTCCGCTTAATGTCGCAATGCTGTGTTTGCAGTACTTCAAACTGGAACGCCTCTCTCATCAGACTATCTCCTGCACTGCTTCCTGGGGAGGAAAAAAAGCCAGGACCTGTTCTGAAGCACCAATGATGTATGTCTGTCACTGACGACTCAACATCAAGATCCTCTTACTTGCCATTAGAGATGTCCGAGTACCTCAGTACCCATACCATCATTACAAACAGAAACTGCATGCATCTAATCGCCACAGCCACTTTTCTAGAGCTTGTGCGTTAATCCTTAAAACAGAGAAGCAAATTCTCCCCCTGAACACTTCTAGTATCTTAACAAGATGACCCACACTAAGCGCGTTTCCTCTGAGACAATTTCAGTTAAACCACCCTGCGTAAATGTTAACAGAAAACTTTTCAACCTGGAGAGATTACAAACGTTAGCACTGCTAAAACATCCCTGGGGAAATTGAGCCTTCTGTAACAGTTATGAAGAAAACCCTGCATGGGGTTTTTTAAAGTCAATCTGAAAATTGACTGTTAATACGAGACATACTATGCATTTACGAGTGAATATTAAGAGCCTGGTAGCCAACACCCACAACACTGTAAATGATACTTAAAGCATGTTAGAAGTCTATGAAACTCGTTTATTTAACGTGCTTAACGTGCGGTATCGGCATTACGGGTAAGTGTCATGGGTCCCTGGTCCTGCTATTTAATGCTCTCCGACTGCTCGGACGTTACTTCTTCGCATCCTAGCCAGCTTGGCACGCCTAGTCAAGCGCTTGGCACGCCACCGTCAGGTTCCCGTAGCCAGGTGGGAGAGTGGGAAGCAACTCCTGAAGGAATGACACACATTGCCCCAAATAACGTACTAGTGGCGGCCGGCTGCGGGAACCCAGGTGACAGCTACAACCGGAGCGTCCGAGCACGGGTACGCAGCTTGCTCCGTGGAGAACCACCGCCAAGCCCCGGGAAGGCCGAACCCCGCGCGCCGCACAGCCAGACCGACCTTTAGGTTTCCCCCCCGCAGCAGGGCCACTGCCGCGGAGCGCCTGACGCCCGGCGCTGCTCGGACCGAAGCCGCCCCACGCGTCTCTGGGGA